TATATATATACCAATTTCGTGTTTATAATAGGATAATTTATAAATAAGGTAATTGTAAAATCTACCTGTATACACAGTTACTGATTAAAGAGTCACAATCGGGTCCCATCGTTTCAAAAGTTCTACGAAAATCATTCCTGTTTTTGTAAATAGCTGGGAATGATTGTGAATCGATAGTTTTTCCAAAAGTCCAGTTATATAATTCTTCGTATATATACATTTCATTCTGTACACGAAATGTGATCTTATGAAAATGAAATTATGAAAAAATGAGGATAATTTTATGAGAATAACGTTGCACGTTTACCTCAGGTACATCTGAATGATTCAAGTGAAACCAATCGAAGCAAATGAAGACTTGAGGAAATTCGATATTGATATGTTCCGTCATTATATCTAATCCGGTTATAGTTGGGTCTGTTTCGAATTTACCTAAGATGATCGCGATTATAGCCGCGATTGCAAGTATCGATGCGAATGTCAAAAAAAACCATATTAATCTACGAGCAAACCAAAATTAATCCATGAATCGGAATTACAAAAAATCGTGAATTTTAAATAAGATCATGTTTCTTTTTTTGACAAGTAAGTAGCATTGAATTATTCATTTTGTAACAATTAATTGCAGAACAGTTGAATTATGAGATTACCTCTCCCATTTAGGTCGCGTAGGATCCACGAAATATGGAACACCATGTAAAGTGTTCTCCAAAAGATATTCTCTTGTTCGACACTTCAAGCTGGAATGTAACTCCTTTAAGGACAGATTATACTTGTATTTCATTTTAAAATAAGTCTGACAGTGTATGCACTTTTACAGCTATGCTATTACTATAAGAGCAAATGAGCTGGACAAAGAAATCACGTCGATCGATTTTTATTTTGAATCGCATGTCAGCTTGAAGCATACATTATGCATATTATACACATAACTCAATTATCACTTTGATCAATTAAAAAAAAAAAAAAAAGGAAAGATAGGATTGTATTATAAAACAAAATGCTGGTCAAAGAATCGTTTATCATATTTTATTGATTATTTCATTCCATCTCGCGACAAAGCAAAGCTTTCGAAAGTTGAAAAATGTCTTACGAAGGCATGTAACAAAAAAAGATAACATTTATTATTGCTCCTTTCTAGAGAAGACGAAAAATGATTGCCAACAGGAAATATCGATAACTATGAGTTTGCTCGAAGTATTGTCTTTCGAATATACGTTTTTCCAGTTGTATTTCGTTGTTTAAGACTCGGCCATCATCTGTAGAAACACAAACAGCCCTCATCTTCATGTCAGCTTCTTTATTATTTTAGACTATCCCCTCTTACGACCACCATCTGCATGCATGCCGACGTTGTTCCGGTCGCCGTACCAAGAAAAATCTGCGATCATCGAGTTAAGCGGGTGTAAACTACCCTCTTGATGTCTTCCTCGGATCCGCTTTCGCTTAAAAAAAATCCCCCTCTCCCTTGGTGCGAAAATTCATCGCGCGCCATCATCAAAAGTGTATGTACAAACGTTTGTTTTTCTAACTTAAAAAACACATGTTTACTCGTTTCGTTCGAATGTTATTTCTCGTGTTTCCTTGCGTAGGCAAATAATGAAATTAACTGAAACAACAAACAGACCAGAGTGAAATGGGAATGTCGATGTCTGCTTAAAAAAAAAAAAAAAAAAAAAAGAAAAAAACTCAACGACAACGATCCAAGTGTCGCGAGTCACGGTAATAATTAAAAGAACAACGCGTTTGAAAGTGAAGAGAAATGAGAAGAGAAATTAACGAGCTCTGTTGTTAGGAGTCGTTTGACGCATGGGCGAGAAAATACTTCGGAGAAAAAGAAGCGGCGCTATTCTTGCGTCCAGGTGTGAGCCTGTAACGCCAGTGTAAATATACAACACTTACGCCATTCTGACGGAGCCTCTTCGAAAACTATTAACGTATCCCGCTGTGTGTTGCGGCTTTGCCGATCATTTTTCCGTTCCGACCTATTTCTCTTTCTACTTGGCCGTGTTTTCGCCCCTTCGAGACATTAAGTGGCACGTGTTAAAGAACTTAATCAGGTAGCCATCAATGTTAAACAACCACCACAGTGATCATCGTTCATTTACCACTGTTGAAAGATTACTGTCACTCGAGGATAGTCACTTTATCCCTTCAGACTGGGCTTTTCTATGTTGTCAAATAATCATAAAAAATAAATAGTCTTTAAATTAAGCTTTAACCAGTTTTAAAAGTTAGAGACTTTGATATTATCAACTAAATTAATTTGGATGTTGGAAAATGTTACATTCTTATTCCCTGCTCTCTTTCCATTCGTATGATATCATTTAGTAAGTTTTAATAGTCATAATTTAAGCTATAATTAGCATTTAAAGATTGCACGGTGTACGTTATCTGCAGATTTAAAAATCTGTCATATTTTCTGTAGTTATTCAATATCCTGAAAATTTATAATTTCAAATAAAATTGAATGATTACATTGAAATAATACAGAAAATATTCTACATGCAGATGTAATCTATAATAACTGTCCTCAGTTTTCTATGGATATATAGATGTAACGTCACGATAGAAGAAGATTTATCATCACAGAATTTGTAAATTTAGTATTAATATACCTGTTACATTTTATTTGCACTGATATGTCGATGAATTTTTCCTGGATAATTCGTAATTAATTATGTTTTCCTTCAGATATTAAATTAGACTAGATTTCGTGTGACAATCAACGCTGCTTGAAGAAGAAGAAAATCCGACTTATTGCGCATCAAGAACGATAATAATAACTGACTAAACTATAGTAACTGATTAGACCAGCTTTTGGAATGCTAAACTACATGATTTTAGAAAATCATGTTAATTTCAGAAGAATTGTGAGATATATGCAAAAATAATGAGAATTAATTAAAAGTTAAGTGAGATAAAGTATAAAAATAATTAAAAATAAAATAAAACTAACAAGTTCTATACTCGAATTAGAACTTTCCTATAGAACTTCTGGTTGGATATTTTACATTTCAATGTTACTAATGTTTTCTTCCTCCAGTTACATAACACTATCAAAGCAGAACAACATGAAACGAGACATGAAAAGCTAATTTTTATATACCGCCGATTAATCGAGATTACACAAACATCCATAAAAGAGTTGTGTGGTCGTGACTCGGGTCGACTTGTTTATCGCGATCAGAAGCTGAAAAGTCAAGTTATTCACGAACAGCCAAGCCAGAGTGGGGAGAGTGGCGCCCAGTTGGACACTAGTGTATCAAACTGATCGCGATATACACTTGGTTAATTATTAATGGCGCAATATGCAAGCATGTCTGTACGAATAACTCTCTATCCGTTTGATCTTCACTGTTCTTTCTTTCTTTCGTTTCCACTTTATTTCAGAATCTCATCTTTGATATTAATAACGATTGACAGTCCCGTTGCAAACGCATTACACACCATGATTAAACATTCAAGTAAGCTATCACTCACGAGAATCTGAACTCTTTCTAATTGACTTAAGGTAGACTTAGATAGTAAATTAAAATTATTTATTAACAAAGATTCCTTTTATGAATCACAGTGCACGTCTACGTTTTCACGAAGAGGAACATAGAACAAATAACAGCTTTTTCATTTCAGTTGTTTTGCTCTGTAAAATTCTGACCTGCAAGGAAAGCTCGTGGCTAGAGTCATAGCAATTGGTGATATTATTTGCTGAGGATTTACACCGTGTCCTGTCGAACCTATGGGGCTAGATTAATAATATTAAAAACGAAGGTTGAATCGTGAGTTGGCACGTGTCGGAGATTAAAGCGCAACAAGAGGCTCCACCCTTAAGTCGGCTGAAAAAGCGACGAGATTACGAGGAACCGTCGCTTCTGCCTCTCCGATAGCGTAGGTCGAGCCTAGCTGATGATGAACCATGCTCGTCCCTCGCGTAAATCCTTGGTCGTTCTCTTCGAGATGCATGTGGGTGCCGCGAACAGAGACGATCGGATCTTTGTATGCGTGACCGCGTTTCCTTGTGTGTACGCCAATGCGAGGGAGTTCTCGAAGGCGGCCTTTAGTCAGTCTTTAGTTTCGAGTAAGCATCCGTCGAAGATAGAGGATCCTCCTCGATTTATCCTAGTGACTGGGAAGGTCTCCCCTTCCGGCTTAGCTCTTCGCTCTTTTGATCCTTGTCTCTCGATCCTTACTCTTTGGGCCGCGATTCTTTCTTCGTCGTTGCTGGTCCTCCCTTTCACTCTCCTGCAATTAAAGTCTATTTACTCCATTATACGACCTTGTTGTTGTTGCTAATTTTTTTAACACCGAAGCTTCGATCAATTTTAAAACATTGTCCAATGGATCCTTCGGTTATTTTAGAAAAACAAGCAATTAATTAGTCCCTTGCTTTGGGATATCAAGTCAAGAGAAATCGGCAAGTTTACCTAAACGTGCTTTGATTTTTGAAGGGACGAACTCATGAAAACTCGAATACACGTGCGCTCCAGTCAGTGCGACGAACAACTGAAAAAGTAAAATTGTGTTATTTATCGTTTCGGTGACG